AGATCCCAGTCGCTACTCGCCAAAGTAGGAGGTGGAACAATGTTTTGTATAGTATGTTATGCCAATTGAGCTTGATGTCCCCTGCGACCTTTTGGAAGTTTTGAGTAAATACCATTTTCTGAGAGAAAATTTTGTCTGAGAGCTGTGCATTCTGACTCAACAGCACTCACAATGTTTTTCTTGTGGTATAAACTTCACACTAATTTAACTGCTTGCCTCCTCTAGAACATGTCATCTTGCCCTACAATATGACTGAAGAACAGGGGAGAATTGTTTAGCACTTCATTCCTGAAGGCTGGTCATTGAATTTTGTTGTTATCTTGCTTTGCCAACTCCTTACCAACCTGCCCAGCTTTATATGAAGTTAAAATTTTTAGCTTTTGCCTGGCAAGGATATAGATGGAAAACTTCTGATAATCACCAATACTCTGCATTCCACCTCTTTCTATGCGGCGTGGAGTGTGTACTTTCTTCATCATCATGTATTGAATTATGTGCTGCTGCTGTGGGTTCTCTAAGAATGTGGAAGAGAGTTCAGTCGGTCGTTCATAAATGTCACAACAATCATGCCACTGTCTGAACATTTTACTTTTTAGGAATTGAATACATTAAACTAACATCTTAAACAAGGTTGATCTTTAAGGCAAAATAATTTTGTTTTTTCTCTGTATGTCTTAGGGATAGACCTAGCTTTTATTGAGAATGGATACATTTATCACACTAAGTATGACACAGCAGACAGAATTCTGACAGATTCCATTCAGCGAGCAGGTTGGTACTCTCATTTAGACCTCCCCCTCCAAAGTCAGGATCATTTTATTTATTCATTTATTTTATTGTGGGTTTGGGAAAAGTTTATAGATCACCTGAGTTTTACCTTCAACAATTTATACACATTTTGTTTTGTGACTTTGGTTGCAGTACCCTCAATGTAATGGAACTCTTTCTTCTCTCTTCCTCCCTGGGTTCCCCATTTCCATTTGTCCTTCTTTCCTGCCCCTTCCTGCATTCTGAACTTTGTTTTTGGGCAAACAAAGGGGTAGTCTCTGGGGTTCCACTAGTCTTTGTCAGACCAAGAAGTCTGGTTTTTTTTATGATTTTGAATTTTGTACATTATTTTTCTCTCCCTTCCCATTTAGACTTTTGATACATCAAAAGACCAAGTGTGAGGGATGATCTGTAAACCCATCAGGCAGTGTGGGATGTGATTGAGATAGGGCAATGGAATGGGGATAGGGACTAAATTTTAGCATTGCAGCTTGCTGTAGCAGTTAAAACCTAGGACTGCCCATGGTAAGGGAACTGGCCTGGAATTGCTGTAGGCTTGCTGAACAACAAGAATGCAGCCCAGGTGAAGTCTTTGAGGAGGCACCTGCACATGCTTTTGAAAAGCTTTCCCAGGCATAGAAGGGAACAATAACATTGATCCAGGGTTGGGTGGTGAGGGCAGGTGAGGCAGTTACTGGACGGGTACCAGAGGAGGACATGGGGCAAGGGAGTGAGGTGCTGGGGTGAATCTGATGCTGGGCCTTAAAGAGTTGGTAGTCGTTCCACACAAGAGCACAGTGTATGTAGATGTATGTGTGGGGGTGTTGATGAGTAGACTGTGAGGCTGGAACAGAAATTGCATTTTCAGAAATAGAAGAGTGAGGTAGAGTGTAAGCAGAGACAATTGTAGAAGGCTTCAAAAGTGAACAAGTAGAAATAAGGAACCACTGAAAGCCTATGTGCATCAGTGAACTGGGTAAGATGGTTTAGATGCTCGGTGTCTGGTGCTGCAGTGTGGTGTGGATTGTCAGGGAGACCTAGGAGTCAGGACAGTTTTGAATGTTCTCACAGTGATATAAGTGGGAATACTGAGTTCTAGGTTGTACCGATGACAGAAGGTGGAAATGAAGAAGAGCAATGGCAAATTAGACACATTTTGACGGCAAATTCAGTAAGATTTGATATTAAGTAGAAAGCATGAATCAGATGGACTGTGGCAGTGACAGTCACAAAATATAAAGTCTGCTGGCCATGGTGGGGAAGTGGGTAGGCACCTCTCATCTAGAGTGGTCATTGAGAAGGGGGACCATGCACTCTGGGGGACACAGACAACAGGGCCTGTGAAGCAGCCAGGTGAGCATGTGCATCTAGGTGACTGTAGCTGCAGGATTGGACCTCCTGTAAACTGGGCATAGGGGTGTGGGTGTGGAGAAAGGAAATGGGTTTTCCAGAGGGAAGTGAAGGGGAGGACAGGGCTAGGATGGAGCTTTGCAGAAAGCAGATTTGGAGGCAGATGGAGATGCCCATGAAAGAGAGCCGGGGCTGAGACCATGCAGTGGGTTAGAAGGCAAAGGAAGAGAAAGTCAGTGATGGGCTGAGCAGCAGGAAGAAATGCAGACCAGCCAAGGCCTCATGCTCCTACGTTAGAGTTCAGATACATTCATTCATTCATTGATGTAACAGGTATTCATCATAGATTGCTGATGTGCCAGGTTCTGCCTGCCAGGGCTCTGTCTGCCTCTCTGGTTTTATTGTTGAAGAATGTCCTCATTCAGGACTTTTCTGTTGGAACTCTTCCTCTCCCCAGGCCCTCTGTCCACACAGTTCTCAGTCTGGATCCCACTCTGGCATGGCTAGCTTCTATTCATCCTTTTGCTATAAATATCACTTCCTCAGGGATGCTTCCCTACTTCCCAAATTCCATCAGCCTCCAGTGGGATGTTCCCATAGCATGTTTTACATCTTTCTATTAATTCAGCATGCTTGAAACAACTTGTTTGGTGTCTGTGAACCTCATCAAGGATCTCTGTCTCTTGGTTCACCACTGAATTTCTGGTATCTAGAACAGAGCCTGGTACCATAAATATATATGTGTATGTGTGTGTATATGTATGTTTTTATATGTGTGTGTGTACATATATATGTGTGTATGTGTGTGTGTATGTATATGAATGAATGGGGACTGAGAAGCAGCCATTGGGTTTATCAATGGGGATGGTACAATTGATCGTAGAGAATAATTCGTAGAGGGGAAAGGACCAAGACCAGATTATTGTTGACTGAGCTTATAAATTGAGAAGAAATGGAATAGTGGGCATGGACGTTATTGAAGACTTTCAGAAAGAAAGGAGAAAGCCATAGGATGCTAGAAAGCTCTTTCTGCTCACAGTCTTTCTGGCTGTTTCTTTACTCAAGCAGTGGAGTTTATTTCTGTTTTATGTAGTTGTACATGTAAATCACGTACAGATAATTTGAGTGTTACCTACCTTCTCTTCACTAATAGGTGATAACATTTTAGCAGTTCTTAAATATCTCGCTACATCTGATATGCTGGCTTCTTCCTCCAAGTATCAACATGGGAATATGGTCTTCTTTGATGTGTTTGGCCTTTTCGTCATTGCCTACCCCTCCCGTGTTGGCTCGATAATTAACTACGTGGTGTTCATGGCTGTTGTTTTGTACCTGGGCAAAAAATTGTTGCAGCCCAAACATAAGAGTAAGTATTGCTCTCCACAACTGTGTATACTGGCTTGGGTATGGAATTTGCCTGAAGTTTTTCAGTCATGCTGCTTGTATCCTTCCAGGAAGTTAAAAATCTGAAAAAAGTAACATGATTTGTAGTTGTAAAGAATTCCTACATGATTATCAAATTAATATGCTCATTGTGCTTTTGGTCTTGGTGAAGTAGGCAATGTGTATGTGCTTTCACACGCCATGGAAGTACCATGTAGGAGCTGTTGAAAACTGGACTGCATAGATTTTTAATGAGAAGTCTCATTAAAAAGTCTTGTCCATGCTACAGACTGATAGCACCTTGGACAATGCATGAACTGCTTTTGGTTAAATTGGCTTTTTTCTCCTTGAAATGTTTCATCATCATCTTAGTTAATATCTGCTGTTACAAGATAAAATACTTAGCAGCAATTTAAATAATCCTTTTCCCTAGTTATTTTCCCCATGCTTCTTCGTCTTCCTGTGTTAGCATCTTTTGGCAAGATTTTATATGGAACTTTGCTAATATTTTGATACAGAAAGCACCCCAAAGGTGGTAAATATTAAGACCACCTACTTTTTGTCAGAGATGTGTTTGAGCTATTCCTGGAAGACTTTACTTGGTCTCCTTAGTATGCGTCAACATCCATTAAATATTACCCACTGCCATTGAGTTGATTCTGACTCACAGCCACCCTTTAGGTCAGGGTAGAACTGCCCTATAGGGTTTCCAAGGCTGTAAATCTTTGTGGAAGCAGACTATTTCATCTGTCTCCTCGTGAGTTTGAACTATCAACCTTTTGATTAGCAGCTGAATGCTTAAACACTGCACCACCAGAGCTCCTTAACCAGTAAATAATACTTGAAAGTTACTCTTTGATACTTTCCCTGTGACCTTACCTAGTGCTTAACAAACCTCAGCAGTAGGAAATTTCAATTACAGTGATGAATTTTTTTGTTTTAATGTTTATACCATTAATTCTATTGACTAATTATGTGAATTGATTTCATGAAGATCTCAGCTCTGTGTTTTCTTTTCATCAGCTGCTCACTACACGAAGGACTTCTTCTGTGGGCTTGGCATCACTCTGATAAGCTGGTTTACCAGCCTCGTCACTGTTCTCATCATAGCAGTGTTTATCTCTTTTATCGGACAGTCTCTCTCATGGTACAACCACTTCTATGTTTCCGTTTGTCTGTATGGAGCTGCAGCTGTAGCCAAAATAATATTCATACACACCCTCGCCAAAAGATTTTATTATGTGGTAAGTGGTAGATATACTTACTGATTTCAAATGCTGCCTTCCAGGATGAAGCAAACTCAAGTGGGAGTCACTGTGTTTGGACCTTTGAACTTGTTCTGCCTAGTTAGTTTTCTGAAAGACTTCTTACTGTGAGGGCTGGGTTACAGAATTTCAATGAGGTTATGAGACTGGGCTGTAAGCAGTGTTTGGGTGGTAGTGGCAGCAAGCCTTGCTGGCACAACCTCCTGCCTCAGCTAACCCTGCTGTTTGTGTAACTACATGCTTGATTACACCACCTTCCCTGGGCTCACCCAGAGATTTATGTTGTTTGAATGTATGTTCTCCATTGGACTGTAAGCTCCATGAGGGCAGTGCTTGTTTTGTTTTTTGCTGTCGCCCCTATATTTAGTCATGTCTGGCTTACAGCACTGACACACAGTAAGAATACTGAAATAATTTTGCACTGAAAACTGATTTTTCTCTTCAGTTTTCCTTCACTTTTTCTTTATACCTACCTGTATGTTGTTGGTGCAGATGCTGATAGCATATGTGTGTAGGACACATTGCTAAAGGAAAAAGAGGGAAAGGTGACAGAGTCCCAAAATGATGTACCAGTGCCCATTTAGAGAATGTCACCATATTATGGTTTCAACTGTGTACATTTATTTGGTAAAAGTAAAATTAGGAATTGTTGTTGTTATGTGCTATTGAGTCATCTCCTACTAATAGCGACCCCTCCTTGGGTTTCCTAGGTAGTATCACTACAGAAGTAGATTGCCCAGTCTTCTTTCTGAGGAGTGGCTGGTGGGTTTGAACCGCCAACTTTCTGGTTAGCAGTCAAGTGCCTTAGGTACTATGCCACCAGAGCTCCCAGATTAGGAATTGGGGGTTATGAAATAATAGGATTTAAAAAATTACACAAATTAAAGAGCCATAGGAGCTCTGGTGGTGCAGTGGTTAAAGCATTGGGCTGCTAACCAAAAGGTTGGCAGTTTGAACCCACCAGCTGCTCCATGGGAGAAAGATGAGGTTTCTGCTTCTGTAAAGATTTACAGCTTTGGAAACCTATGGAGCAGTTCAACTTTGTCCTGTAAGGTCACTGGTTGGAATTGACTTGATGGCAGTAGATTTGGTTTGGTTTAGAGAGCCATGGTTTCTGAGGTTCGAAGTGAGTTAAAAGGGAAGAATCTTTCTTAGTTCCACAATTTTCAAGACAACCAGCATACACTGGCTTTTCCAGTTTGTCTTGCTAAGGATTAGAGCAAAGACCTAGCATTATTCCACATAGATGTGCTTGGTTACTGTTCTGGATTGGCATATGGTCCAGCGGGCCCCTGCAGGTAAGCAGGCCCTATTGAAGAAAGACACTTGAGGTTAGCCACCTGCTTATGGTTGAGCTAATACTTTAATCCTGGAAACTTTAGTTTCCAAAAGAATTACCCCACAAGGATCGATTTCACACATTTATTCACCATGCAACTCTATGTAACCTGACTGTGGCTAACTATTGGTGTTGGCCAGGCTGCAGGCAGAAATGCTTAGTAAATTCCATCTACTTTTACTGATTTTAAGAGTAGAGTCATAAAACCTTGGGCTGAAAGCATAATGGAAAGAGTAATGTGTTTCATTTTCATTTTGTAAATGTTCTCTGAGCCTCTGGAATGCATGGGACAGAGACTAATGGGATGTGGTCTCAGTCTTCAGGGAGCTTACAGTTTCATGCAGGACTATGGTAAAGCTGTATAGTGTCTGCAGAGCACTGGATGGAGCAAGATTGAGTGATACATACCCAGTGTCATGGGAGCACAGGAAAGGAGAGATAGATTATGCTATAGACTTCAGGAAATGTTTGCCAGATGGAGGACATTTCTATTTTAGAACATTTCCAAAGGTTGCTTTTAGCCCCATGGAGGAAGAGCACAGATTAAATGCAAGTGATAGCATTGATACTATTCTATCTTATATAAGATATATAGGGGTCACAGTCAATAAATTGTTCAGTGTGGCAAAGACATAGGGTGACAGCCCAGTGTGGCAAAGACGTAGGGTGACAGCCCAAATAGCTGGAGAAGTTGGGCAGGGAGAGGGTGAAGTTGGAGCATTAACTTTAAAACCTGAGGGGCCCCTGTTGAAATTTTCTGGGTGGCAGAGTGAATAAGAGAATTTGTAATTTAGAAAGAGGACTCTGGTAATGCTATAGAGAATGGATTGGAAAGGAGGCAGAGTTGAGAGGGATCAATAGAGATGAGGACATGGAAACTAGATTTGAAGGATGTTTTATCTTTGAGTAGGAACCCTAGTGGCACAGTGGTTAAGTGCTTGGCTGCTAACCTAAAAGTCAGCAATTCGAACCCACTGGTTGTTTCATGGGAGGAAGAGGAGGTAGTTTGCTTCTGTGAAGATTATAGCTTGCAAACTAATGACGCAGTTCTGCTGTGTTCTATAGGGTCTCTGTGAGTTGGAATTGACTTAACAGCAACGAGGTTTTATATTTGGGTATTTCATGTAAAACATTTTCAGTTATTACACTTTTCCTGTTGAGATCTTTGTTTTTAAATATCTGAGTGGTATTCAACTTCAGATTGACTCCTGAGAATTACTTTTTAAAAACCAAGTCTCTTGGTGTTAAACATTTAAATATTTAACAATGATAGCCTCTCCTTCATCATCCAAGGAGCTTTGTCAAATGAACAGCTTGGTTTGGAAACATGCGAATGAGACGCTTTTCCACTCTTGAAGTAGGATCCCTTATAACAAACACGCCCTGGGAATGAGAAGGCAGGGGAGAGAAAGCATACATATTTCTATGTCCCTTTTAGTATTTCTGTACTGTAATTATAACTTTCATGTTTGTGTTAATAGAATCACTTAAGCGGGTGGTAAAACGTATTAAGTTCACATAGCCATTTCCTCTGAGAGTTCAGGGCGCTGCACAGGAACCCTCATACTTCAAGTCTTAACAAAGTATTGTCCAAATTTTATAACATTCAAGTTTCAGGAATACCCTTGCTGTTGAGTTGATTCTGACTCATAGCAACATAGGATAGAGCAGAACTTCCCTATTAGGTTTTCAAGGCTTTATTCTTTATGGAAGACAGCTACCACATCTTTCTCTCTCAGAGTGCCTGGTAGGTTTGAACCGCCAGTCTTTGGGTTAGCAGCTGAGTGCTTACTACTGTGCCACTCCACTGTTTATTCCAAGAATACAGGCAGGAGTAAACATACTGCAAAGCCAGTTGGAGATGGAAAAGGCCAGAAATATCAAGCAAAGCCCCCACGGCTATGAGTTCTAGAGGCCTTGCAGTTTTCCCAGCATGCTGTGGGGCACTGCAGAGGCTGGTACCATTCCTTCCTGGGCCCTTTCTCCAGTGTGCTCCAAACGGTTTTGGGGAAGTTGCATAAGCAGAAAGCTTCAGAGATTAATGTTTTTAGGGGAATCCTTTTCTTTTCCTACCCTGTTTTAGAACATTTTCAAATGTTGCTTTTAGCCCTGTGGAGGAACAGCACAAATTAAATATGAGTGATGACATTGTGTTTTATTCTATCTTGTTAACGTCTCTTTTCCTGAGCAGCAGTTTTATTACTTCATCATAACTAGTAGCTTTGTCTGGGTTTACTTAGAAGTTTAAAGGATAGATTTAAACAAAATGCAGTGTTCCTGAGTGATGGAGATGAGACCACAACACAAGATCTGCCAGATGACCTGTGACAGAGACTGCTTTTCCCTTTTTTCTTTCAGAATACCAGTGACCAGTATCTGGGAGAGCTGTTTTTTGACATCGCGCTGTGTGTGCATTGCGTTTCTCTTTTTATACTCACTTACCAAGGACTCTGCTTGGCGTTTCTTAGTACCATCTGGGTAGCATTTCCACTGCTCACAAAGCTTTTGATGCACAAGGATTTTAAACAGCATGGTAGGATACTGTTGGCTTTAATAAAAGGGGAAAACTCCTTAAGATACTTAAGATAAAGTTTGCAAGGATTATTTATTGTTTTGATCTCGATGGGTAGGTTTTTCTATACTAGTTTTTTGTTTTGTTTTGTTTTAATCTTCAGACTACATAGTTTTTTGCCTTAATGCTATCTTATTTCATGTTCATGAACACATGCTAATATTTTTGTATTTTGTTTAATTCATATTTGTATTTGTATACAAATTCATATTTGTATTTGAATTTGCAAGTTAAAATATCTTATTTCATTAGATAATATGCAGTCACATCTCACTTTTTCTTAATTGTTGTCTTCTTTTTACAATTCATTTTTGTTGAGAATATACACAGCAGAACGAACATATACCAATTCAGCAATTTCTGCATGTACAATCCAGAGATATGGATTACATTCTTCTTCAAGTTGGGCAACCATTCTCACCCTCCTTTTCTGAGTTGTTCCTCCCATATTAACGTAAACAGACTGCCTCCTAAGGTTCCTATCTAACCTTTCTAGTTGTTGTTGCCACTTTGATCCTGTATAGACAGAGCTTCAAAGAGCAGAATGGTCAAGGCAGACATTCTTTACTAGTTAAGCTAAACTGTTGTTCAATTTTAAGATGATTTCAGGGAATATTTTTGGTTTAAAGATTATCACAGGGCAATAGTTTTGGGGCTTTATCTAGCCTCAGTGGCTTCAGAAAGTCTGGAGTCCATGAGAATTTGAAATTCTGTTCTGCATTTTCTCCTTTTTGATCAGGAACATCTAACATAATGTATGTTAGGTGCCAGGGTACACATGTTGTTAGGTGCCATTGAGTTGATTCTAACTCATAGCAACCTTCTGTACAACAGAACAAAACACTGCCCTTCCTGTACCATCCTCAGAAAATCTGTAACTGCCTGTGGAATTTCATATATGTGTATTTTCCTTTTCCTTAGGTGCCAGAGGAAAATTCTTGGTGGTTTACCTTTTGGGGATGTTTATCCCTTACCTGTATGCATTGTACCTCATCTGGGCAGTGTTCGAGATGTTCACCCCCATCCTCGGGAGGAGTGGCTCACAAATTCCACCTGACATTGTGCTGGCTTCCATTCTAGCTGGTTGTATAATGATCCTCTCTTCCTATTTTGTAAGGAAAAAAATTTGTTTTTCTTTTTGATACAAATACATGCTACAGTTAGCCATCCAGGGGTCTATGAAATAGCCCTGCCTTTTCGTTGGAGAAACTCTTAAGCCAAAGACATCCTGAGTGGCTATGCATCATGTGGGTTCAGTGTGGTGACAAAATGTAGACTGGGCTTGTTGTTGCTGTTTTTATTTTGCTTGTAGTTTTTGTTTGGTGGTTGTTTATGCCTGCCCAAAAGCCTCTGATTATACTTCTTTTCAAATAGCCTTTCAGTCTTTCTGAATGTGAATTTATTGTAGAATGTGAGAATTGGTAGAGATTCATTGGAGATGAGCTCTTGGAATAATTTCTAATCATGCAATTTGTACTTAATGATTAGAGGTAAATGCTAATAAACACAGGATAGTTTTATTAGTGCTTGTTGGCACTAAGGAAGGAAGACAACTTCTGATGAGATTTTCTCCATTATCATTCAACTGCCTTGCTTCTAGCAGGGGAACATTCACTTAGCAAGTCTGTCTCTGGGTAAAGTACACTTAGGAACCCCAAGCATACCCTTGTTGCTGGGTTATAAAAGAGCACTGCAGGCCTTGCCAGCCCTCATTGTGCTGTGTCAATGTGCTGTCCATGTGGGGGAGACCTGCCTCGGCTGTCCCTGCCTCAGCCATCCCTTCCTCGGCTGTTCCTGCCCCTCTTCCTTTGAGACCCTTCAGAGGGGAGAGAAGACAACACAGAGTTTAACCAGCCCCTCTTTGTCAGAGCAAACCCCAGGTAGCAGTATGGTGTGGTGGCCACACTCCAGGATCACACTAGAGGAGATCCTGGCCAGGCCCTTTAAGGGAGGCAGTTCTCTGTTTTGTGGCTCTTGTCATTGGTGTTCTTAAGCATAAGAACTACTCACTGAATACTCTTTGGTCATCTCTGAGCCTTGAGGATAGAGGATTGAGTAAAAAAAGCAATGTGTGAAGTCATTGCATTTTTTTTCCCACGGAGCTGAGGGTGAGCCCTTCATAGTGGAGCAGTAAAGGCAGCTCAAGTGGAAGCAGCACGAACAGCATGATGAGCGTTATAGGTGTAGAGATTGTTGTTACATGTATGTTTACCACAATATAAAAAACAGAAGGTAAGAAAGAATATCACGTGTGGTCAACATTATCCTTGAAAATCCTTTAAGTAGCCAACAAGCCTTGTATAATGTGCTTACGTATATATAGCCTATAGGGTAATTCTTACGCACACTGCTGTCTGAACTCTGCTTTAATAGTCCTAAAAAATCTGGGCATTCCAACCATTTTACCTTTAAGATAATGCTTGGTTCCCTAGTGCTGCTCTGAGCACAAATGGGATGGCTTGAACAAACAGGAGTTTGTTCTCTTATAGTTCCAGAGGCTAGATGCCTGAGTTCCAGGTGGCAGGATCTAGGGTGGGTGAAGCCCCTGGACCTTGGACTTCAGTTATGTCTCTTGCTCCTGGCCCACTGAAGCTTGAGGCATCTCTTCACTCAGGCAGCTGCTGCTCCTGAGGCTGACAAACCCTAGGTCGACAAGTGAGAAGGCATGGTCCCAATATTATCAGAACACATGGCAGTCCATTCATTCAAGTCCCTTAAATGTCCCAGGATTGGCAGGGCATGGCAGGCTGCTGAGTGAAGACTCGGCTACATGTAGGGTTCAAGCATGACAAAAAGCTAGAGACCTTCCTCAAAGCTGCTGCTTGTATGCTGGAAGCACCCCACATCCCTAAAGTGGCTACTCAGCTGCTCCAGTAGATTCCACTATGGAGTTGATTGCCAGTCTCAGTGTGGGGAATAACTACTTTTAGCTGCCCAGCCACTCAATCAGGCCCAGCCAAGTTGACAGCAACTACCACAGATAATGACTAAGCCCTCATTGGAATTTGTAGGGATGAATGGAAACTTCTTAAATATTCTTCTTGCCTGCAGGACTTCCTTGTTTTGATTTTAATATTAAGCCTTTATATCCTCTGTACATGTTAATAGGTAGGTTTGCTGTTTCTGCCGGCTATAGATTAGGTTCTAATCTAAAGTCAGCTGAGTTATAAACTGGACCCCACTGTATATATTAGTCAGTTAATGCAAGTTATTGATACCAAACCAAAAACCAAACTCATTGCTGTCGAGTCAGATCTGACTCACAGTAACCCCTCCTTGGGTTTCCTAAGCAGTGTCACTGTAGCAGTAGATTGCCCCATCTTCCTTCCTAGGAGTGGCTGGCAGGTTTGAACTGCCAGCCTTCTGGTTGGCAGTCAAATGCCTTAGGCACTACACCACCAGAGCTCCCAAAGGTATTGATAGCCATGAAAAATTACAAAAATGTAGAACGTTTCAGTTCTGTCCCATGATCATATGGAAGGGGACAAAACCAACCCTGGAAACTTTCTCTATGGAAATTGAAAATGTCTTTAAGCATGAAAATCTTGGAAAGCAGAAGTAAGAGGATTAAAGTACATTATCTTCTAAATTATATTTTATTAGGAAATCTCTCTTAAGAGAAGAATGCCTCTCTAGAATACTTGAAAACCTCATTCAGTTTTCATTTTGATGTGAGATAGCTCTGCCACCCTGGGGTGCTGTGTTACTGCCTCTTCATTATTTCCTTGTTTATGTGAAGCCTTGTTAGAGAGAGTGGCTTGTTAATGGAGAGAGACCATTCTCCTTGGTTAATGGAGATGCAACCACAGTGTGTACCTCAGAGAGCTTTTCTCTCAGTCCTTGGGGACTGATTAAATATATTCAGTAGAAAGCACTTAATTCCTGTCAAGTGATTGGTTGACAGATTCCCTGGAGTTTGTCTTTGCTGGGGCATCATGGTTGTCTTGTTGCATGAAGCACTGAAGCTGTACCACTAGTAGGCATGGGTTAGAAGGGGGCACTCTCAGAGAAACAGCATGACACTGCTTTCCTTCTGTTCCTACTAGCACCCTGAGATAGTGAACGCTGTACAGCAGACCCTGTGTGACGGTGCTGTATGGCATCAAGGCATTCACCATAACCCCAAAATCAAACCAAACCCATTGCCTCAGCATCTGCTCTCAGCTTTCTTGTCATTTTATTTTGATTCTTTGAGAACCCAGGTTGACATAAGATGCAACATTTATGATAGAAGTTGGGTTGGAAGGGTGGTTGACACTGGCATCCCAACACGTTGTCATTTTCTGGCCATTCCCTTTCTTGTCCTCTGCGTTGTGATGCCACTTCATCCATCCCCATCACCAGAAGGTGGGTGGGCTGGCAGAGATAAAGCTCGTGATTTGGAGAAGAGGGAACGTGACTGTGGAAACCGAGGCTCTAGGGTCACTCTGAGCTTACATCTTTGGCTGGATTAGGAACGGCAGTACCCAGAGCTTATCGCAAGGAGCTTTTTGACTTAAAAGAGGCTCTCCACTAATCTCATCACCCTTCAGTGGAGAGGAAGTTCATTACTGGCAGGATATTAGAAGCTTCTGCTGAGCCACATTTTACACATTGTAACTGTGAGGAGAAATGGGCAGCAAGGCATGTTGTGTTCTACTGATTCGCTGCCTTCAGCCCTCGGGTGCTTATTTCTGTGGACTTGCTGTGTATACATGTAGGCTCTCTGACCTAAGACCAGTGCTGGTTTGGTGGCCGTGACCCTGGATGGGTTATTGTAGAAAATCCTTTAAACTTTACATACGCAAGAAACACAGCACACTGCCCTTGAGTCAGACCTGACTCCGTGACCCCTCCTTGGGTTTCTGAGGCAGTGTCACTACCGAAGTAGATTGCCCAACCTTCCTTCTGAGGAGTGGCTGGTGGGTTTGAACTGCCAGCCTTCTGGTTAGCAGTTAAATGCCTTAAGGCAGGATACGAATAGTTGTTTAATTTTTCATTTCCATCTCAAAATCTTTTCATATTTCTGTTCTTTTTTACTTATTGACCCTCAGGGCTGAGGATGGTGAGAAGGCAAAGGGGGGAGCTGGGTTCGGGTCATCATTTCTTGAAGTGACCCTGTAGACCCCTGAGGGATCTGTGGACATGTTCTGTAAGTCATGGGTATTCTTTATGGATTTCCTTCTACTTAAAAAGTTACCAGAAGCATGTTTAGGATTTTCTAGATGCCCACTTTGAGGCTGAGCCATTCTCCTTAACTGCCCATGTTTAGATTTGTGGTTGTGATTGTGTTGGTGCCAGTTAACTCATCACCTGAGGTGACAGCTTTACTTTGCAGTTGTTCCCCCAGCGCATGTCCACAGCAGTCTTGAAGGCACCTCTGAGCATGAGTTGAATCAGCCCAGCATCTTGGCACATTATAAAAGCCTTGTGGGTGGAAGTTGAGTTTTTCTGAAATGGGCCAGCTTAAGCTGAAAAAGCTGCTTTCTGGCTATTAGTGAGGAGGCTGGCTGATGTAGTGGTTAAAGTGCTCAGCCGCTAACCAGGAGGTCAGTGGTTCAAATCCACCAGCTCCTCTGTGGGAGACAGATGTGGCAGTCTGCTTCCATAAAGATCACAGCCTTGGAAACCCTATGGGACAGTTCTGCTCTGTCTTACAGGGTTGCTGTGAGTTGGAATCAACTCGCTGGCAATGGGTTTGGTTTGATTTTGGGGTTATAGTGAATCCTTGATGCCATACAGCACCGTCACACAGGGTCTGCTGTACAGCATTCACTATCTCAGGGTGCTAGTAGGAACAGAAGGAAAGCAGTGTGTCATGGTTTAGCTGGTGTGCTCATTTTCTTTTTTCTCTACCACCTTCCAGCTGCCTGTCAGAAAGGGCATCTTCCTGACAGATTGGAGGCGTCTATTACCAGGCACAGATTTGTGATAGAAGTCATCCATCATTAGGGTATTGGCAGGTGTTAGAACATGCTGATAGACTTTCTGCATTGTTAGAATACTTGTACAAATAAAGGGAGATAAAAGCACCTTTCTATGAGTTGTCTGTGCTATAATTGTTCTTATTTTGTGTTTCAGATCAACTTCATCTACCTCGCCAAAAGCACAAAAAGAACCATAGTAACTTTAATTTTGGTTTGTGCTGTTACCTTCCTCCTTGTCTGCAGTGGAGCGTTTTTCCCCTATAGCTCTGATCCTGCTAGCCCGAAGCCTAAGAGGGTGTTCCTGCAGGTAAGGGCACTTTTCTTCGCTTCTTTGAGATTTGGGCTTCACAAGTCAACAGGAAACCTAGCTGGCTTTTCTACTTTTGACCTGTTTCATTGGACTTGCCTGTTTTGTGTGTGGCATGAGGAAAGGACAAGACTGGCCATCAAGAGGCATTCTTATCGGCTAGATATTCATCTCCCAAGAGACTGACTTGGAAATGGTCACTTGTTTTATTACTGGCTGGATTATAAAAAAGCCCAGATTTGAAAAAACAACTGCAAATAGGCATCAGGCAATAGTGGTATTGTAGAAACACAGAATGTAAAAATGTCTGCAGACATTTTTAATGTCTGGCAAAGTAGGACAGGTACTTTAAAATGTTAATAATATTGACCTTCGCTAATGTATTAGCTAATGCTCTGTGTAACAGTGAAAATACAGGAACTTAGAAAGGGATTAACAAAATGAGATTTAGAACTTTGTCTCAATTTCAGATTTTTCTCCAGAGTTCTCACAGCTGTGCTGTAAAGCAGTGGAAAGAGGTTGTTGCCTCACCTCCAGCCATCTTCTCTGGTGGATGTGTTGGAGTGGCCACACAGGAAAGCCAGAGGAGTCACAGTCTAGATAGTTGGTCCTTGGAAGATTAGTCATCGTACGTATTCTGATGTGCCTTAAATACCAGAGAAGGAATTTTGAAAAAAGGCCAACTTTTCCTGGTTTGCAGGCCTGGAAAGTTGACATGACAAAGTGGGTTCTCCTTTAGCAGTCTTTATACAGTTTTCCGTTATACAGTTATAATTTTCACAATATCTCAGCATTCTCATTATTTCCATTCTGTTTGTTCTGTTTCCATTGATCTACCTCCCCCTCTCCCCGGCCCTCACCTCTTCACGTTTCCTTTTGGGTAAATGTTGACCATTTGGTTTCAAATAGTTGATTGTTTAAGGAAGGACATTGCTCATAGGTGATAGAGTTTATAAGCCAATTTATTATTTGACTGAAAAGTGACTTCTAGGAGTCTAGGCTTCAGTTCTCGGGAGCTCTGGTAGCATAGTGGCTAAGGCACTTGACTGCTAACCAGAAGGGTGGCGGATCAAACCCACCAGCCACTCCTCGGAAGGAAGGTTGGGCAATGCTACTTCCATAGTGATACTGCCTTGGAAACCCAAGGAGGGGTCGCTATGAGTCAGGGCTGACTCGATGGCATATAACAACAACAACAACAACAGGCTTCAGTTCTCAGTTCTAAGGGAATCTTAGGGCAGTAGTCCTGGGGGTTCCTCTGAACTTATCAGTCCAGTAAATCAGGCCTTTTTTAGGAATTTGAGTTTTGCTCTCTCTTTTTCTCCCATCCTGTCCGGGACCTTCTATTGGGTCTCTGTTCAGTCTCACCATCTAGTTCTGGTCTCAGACTAGAAGAGGCTGTGCGTGGTTCATGTGGGCTGTTAGCTCCATGGACTAATTTCTTGAGTCTTTGGTTTCCTTCATTCTCTTGTTCCAGACAAATAGAGACCAATAGTTGTGTCTTAGATGGCCACTCACAAGCTTTTGAGACCCCAGAAGCTACTCACCAAAGTAGCTTTAGTAGCATAGTTCACATTATCTCTGTGAACTGTGTTATACCAATTGACTAAGTTGTCCTGTGAGACAAAGTGATATATTTTGTGTGATAGATTTTTACAATTTGCCAAACCTTTAGTGAAACACAGCTAGTTTAAAGGCAGCTCAATGTGCTTTCAGTGGTTGGCTAATTTTTATAATTCTGTCAGGAGAATTTTAGTTTTAAAAAGTCTTGTTTTTCTGATGTGTTTTGGGGTGCTGTACTTTCCCTAGGCCAAGAGTTGGCGGACTTTTCCCATACAGGGTCAGATAATAAATGTTTAGGCTTTGCAGATCACACAGTCCATCTCTGCTTTTACAATGAAAGCAGCTGTAGACATAAGAATGTGGGTTCACTATGCTCCAAGAAAACTTTATTTATAGAAATAGATAGGGGCTGGACCTGGCTTGTGGGCTGTAGTCTGTGGACCCTTTCCCTATGCAATTCTTCTCCTTTTTTCTGTTTGATATTCTTCAGGCTGGTTTCTGCTATTAATAAAGCTATTCCAATGGGAGCACTGTACCTTTTCATAGAATTCTGTTAGGCACAAGTCTGCCATCTAGAGGTGAGCTGTGGTTCGTGTTGTTTTGTGCACATGAATTAGCTTCTTTTAACACACACTGAAAGGGGGGATGCGCATGCCCATGCGTGAGTGTATGTGTGCGTATGTATGTTTAGGATTTTTCCCCCCAATTCACATCTCAAGAGAGATCTAGTCTTTGTGTCTTTTAATCTGAAATAGTAGGGATTTTATTTTTTTATGTGAAAGTTAAATATGTAAATAAAAGTTGTAAGAAGTAATAAAACAAACCTCTGTGTATTCATTATCCAGTTTAAAAGAAGGACAATCAGTAGTACCTTAAAAAGCCAAATATGTCCTCCATTCCTGCTCCCTGTACATCCTCCACAACCCCCTACCCCCCAAACACCATCTTCAAATTTGGGTTAATCCTGCTTTGTCTTTATTTTACCACATATGTCCCCTTTATAACATCTATAACATTGTACAGTTTTGCCTGTTTTTGAACTTTTTACAGATAGGGCCAACCTGAAGTACTCATTTGAATTTTTTGCTCAGCCATGTATGAGAATCATCCACATTGATTTGTGTTGCTGTAGCTCATGATGTTTCACTGCTTCAGATTTCATTATAGGATGATGCCCCAGTTTGTTTATTTATCTACTGTTAATGGATACTTGGGTTGCTTCTAGCTTTTTACTAACATGCAGTTCAATATCCACATTTATGTACTTTGTGACAGTTTCTCTAAGGTATGTATATACTCAGGAGGGGTTGCTGGCTTGAAGAGAATGTGCATGGTGACTTGATCAGGTAATGCCACACAGTTCCCTAAAGTGATTGGGCCAGCACACACTCCCACCAGCAGAGTCTGAGGTTCCCATTGCTCTGTGCCCACATCATTTCTTGATATCATCAGACTGACTCATTTTCGCTAATCTGGGCTGGGGAGGTGGGTGAAATGGTTGAAATAACAGTTTTTTTCCCCATCAATCTTGTTCTTTTCAGCATATGACTAGGACATTTCATGACTTGGATGGAAATGTGGCTAAAAGAGACTCTGGAATATGGATCAATGGGTTTGATTATACTGGAATGTCTCACATCACACCACACATTCCTGAGATCAACGATACCATCCGAGCTCACTGTGAGGAGACAGCACCCCTCTGTGGCTTCCCGTGGTATCTTCCAGTGCATTTTCTGATCAAGTTGGTTCATTACTTTTCTGCTTTAGTTGGGGCTTGGTTGGTTCTCGAGTCCTGTCACTAGATCAGTACTTTATTATTTTAACTGTTTTCCTTAGCACAAAAGTCAATTGCTATTGGTAGTAGTATTTAGTTAATTAATTTTTGATCACTACAAAAGTTTTATTTCTAGATAAAGCACTTAGTAGTTTTGCTTTTTCAAACTTAAAAAGTCTTTCTTCTGGAAATTCCAGTACTTAGAAAAGGTGGCACTCCTAACTAATCTAACAGATATCAGTTAAGCATTAATCTCCAGTTGTTTGTTTTATTTCTGGGAAGTTTTTACAGTGTGGTAGTGAAGGATTAATGAGGCTTGAAAGATTAAGTAGTTAAGCCTTTCACTTGGCTGCTAGCTGAAAGGTTGGTGATTCAAACTCACCATCCACTCCATGGGAGAAAGATGTGGCAGTCTGCTTCCATAAAGATTTACAGTCTTAGAAAGCCTATGGGGCAGTTCTACTCTGTTCTTCAGGGTTGTTAAGAGCCAGAATTGACTTAATGACAGTGGGTTTGGTTGAGATATTTTTGAAGTGAAAGATTGCTGAGCTGAAAGGTTGGTTGTTTGACCCCATCCAGGGCCTCCTCAGGAGAAAGACCTGGTGGTCTGCCTCTGTAAAGATTAGTCAGAAAACGCTAAGGTGCAGCTCTGCTGTCACGGGGAATTGCTATGACTGGGAATCGTCTCGATGGCACCCAACAACTGCAACAGGCAAATCAGGATCACCTAGTGTGTTAGACTGGGTTCTCTAGAGAAACAAAACCAGTAAAGCTTATATATACATAGAGAGAGAGAGAGAGAAATTTACCTTAGGAAAATGGTTCACACACTTATAGAAGCTGGCAAGTCCAAAGTTCTTGGGTCAAACGTTAAGCTGGAGGCTTTTCCCGACTCTTGGAACTGCAGGGGTTGAGGAGCTCAAGGCTGGCAGGCAGTATACTGGCTATTGACTCCAATGAATGACAAATCCAAGATCTTCAGGATGAATGGTGGGATTGTTTGCTCATGGACAATTGTAGGCAGCACAACAGAATCCCGATCCACAGAAGAATGTCTCTTTTCCCAGGATGTCCATAAATATACTGGAAGCAGGCCACACCCCTAGGGAAACTCCGTTTCAATGGATTGGCTGCTTAAAACATACTCATCTGATCCCATCATGGGAATAATCACATCACAGCTGCTTAAACCACACAGAATTGTGGTCCAGCCAAGTGGACACACAGCTCCCACTATCACACCTAGTTAATGCTTTTGTTCTTACCTTTGGGAATGTTTTCTTACACATTAACCTGAGTTTCAGAGCTGTGAATTGGCATTGTTTGTCATCTCCAAAACTGTTCATGTTTTCCAAACACTGCATGAATGATGGATAGCTATCAACTAGTAAAGCATCCAAATATTGAAACTGCCTTTCCTAATAGGAAAAACTGGTATCTTCCTGCCTCAGAAGTTTCTCCAAGAGACCGTACTCATTTCAGACTTCTATCCAAAGAACAGACACCCTGGGATTCTAGGAGGTTGACCTTTGAAGCAACAGGTACTTCATATGATAGTTTTTCCTTCTCTCCTTTACTCATTTTAAAGATTTTTATAAGTTGCATGTACTTTGTCCTCTCAAAATTTATTATAGTGACCAGCAACTCAGGAGGATCTTACAGTGTTTTTAAAAGCAGGTGAGGCCGGTAATGATTTTTAAAGAGCCTTCCTGAAAATCTTACAGTGTCAGGTATTGGCTCATTGTCAGACAGGTTCATAACTGCGTTTAGCCTGTCATTAGTAGACATTGTGGCTTTGCTTACCTTTCGTAGCCCATTTTATGACACAAAAACTTTCTTCTGATTTCTGAATGAATTTGTGTAATATTGACATTATTTCTTTCTTAAATATTTGTTAAAATTCAGTGAAGCTATCCTGAAGCCTGGAAGCTTTGTGGGAAATTTAAAAATTATGATTATGATATATAACATAAAGAGCAATGCAGATTTTGTATTTATTGATGTGACAGTGTTGGTTAAGTATTCTTCAAGGAATTTGCCCAGTTATCCTGAATTTGCAAATTTATTGGCATATAGTTGTTCCTAATAGCCCTTAATACTGACTTTTTAAAATGTATAGTATCTGCTGTGATGTCCTTTGTCATTCCTGATATGATTTGTGTTTTTACTTTTACTCTTCCCTGAAACTGTACTCTGGCCACTTGAGTATTGCTTTTCAATTAGTGTGGACTTCTTTAAGTTAGGCAGAAGGTATAGTTTTTATTTAGTTTTCTTTTTGCTTGGTGCTCTGTATTGTTTCTGGATGAAATATTGGAAGACACTGACCTAAGCAGACACCACTGTCTTTAGCTCCCTGCTTATTTTTCCTAGTTGTTTTTTCTTATGGCTAAATTGTGAGCTCTGAGCTGATGTTTCTCACCTTACTGCTTAAAGGGAAGATAAAAAGTATTTAAGGTGTTATATATCAACCCTTCCTGAAAAATATAGCTCCATTTGTTCCAATAATCCTGCTCAGTGCCTCAGCACTTTGCAGTCTTCCAAAGCACGACATGCTTCCTCCAGTATAATCCTCTCAAATAGTTCTTATTTCACAGGTGACAAAATTTTGACTCAGAGATCACGTGACTTGGTGATGCCAGATAGCCATTAGGTAGCAAGGCCAAGATGTAAACCCAGGTTCTCTCATTGTGAAGTCTGTGCCTTTTCTGCTTCTTGTTCCCTACTCTTGTTCATGCTTATGGACTCTCAAACTGGTGGCCTGCGTGAGGTTTGTTAGTGAGCACCTGTGAGGTGATACAAGGCATGAACTTCCATGGTGTTTTAGGTGGGGGGTTCATTGCTTTTCTTGTTGGTATTTTAAGATTGTTTTAACCATGCCTCCTTTCTCTTCTCACACAGGCCCAAGCCATATCTCACTCTATATCCGAACTCACAAAGGGTCAGTGCTCACCCAGTGGTCTCTCGGCACTGGCAACCCAGTCACAAGTAAAGGTGGGGACTACTTTGTATTTTACTCCCATGGACTGCAGGCCCCTCCATGGCAATTCTGGATCGAAGTACAGGTGAGATATCCCCAGCACTGATTGTTACCACTGGTCAGGTTTTTGGGGTATTTATTTAGCAAGAGTATGTGGGGTTCAGAATTCCAACTTCAGGAATAGAGGGTGCTAACTGATTTTCTCTGCCAGGTCTCAGAAGAGCAGCCGGAAGGAATGGTCACTGTGGCCGTGGCTGGCCACTATTTCTCTGGAGAAGACAAGCGATCCCCCCAGCTGGATATGCTGAAGGAGAGGTTCCCTGATTGGACATTTCCCTCTGCCTGGGTGTGCACCTATGACCTCTTTGTGTTTTAATCTGTGGATGAGTTCCAAGTGCGTGCTGACTGGCGTACTCCATGGGACCTAGTTTCTCCCTGTGGGATGTCGATGTTTGTGACCTAAGCCGTTGAATTTTAATGTGATCAGAGAGCTGTGTGAGTTAACATTTCTGGGCCAAGCACTCCGAAGGTTATGCTGTGGGCAGCAATGCATGGCCTTTTACACTTGAAAATGCCAGTATTCTGGCGCTTGAGCACATGTGGGTACTATACACATACGTCATTTTATATGCCTAAGGACAAAAGCCAACAAACCACTTCAATAACTGTTCCCTCAGGATCATGAAAGATGTCCAAGGTACTGTCAGGCCACTGTTAATGAGAAAAATTTCATTTATAATTAAAGCCCAAGACCATTTGTTTTGTCAGTAAGTGATGATAAAATACGGTTCACTGTATCCCTGAGGCCTGCCTCTTGGTGTTGGAGGGGGATTGTGGTAAGGATGGGTCAGAGCTGTGGCCTGTGCTGACAGCAGGGTTTCACCCACTCTGCAGAGCATGGGGTCTCTGTGCTGAAGGCCAGGACAATACTCCGTGCTGCTTTCCAGGGTAGTTCTCGATGCCTGGTTTCCCTCTGACAAATCTGCTTCCCTCTCCACCTGACTAGTTTGAGAAAAGGAGCATTCATCCAGCTACATTTTCCTCTGGGTTTTCCCACTTTGTTCAGGATGCCCTTTGTGCCAGGGCGAGTCCTGAGAAGAGGGTGCAAGTTCACAGCCTGAACTCCATTCCTCAGTGCACAGAGTGGCCGTGTTCTGGCCTGGGGCATAGGAGTGGCTGGGCATTTTATCCATATTTATTGTCTCTTCTTTGCTTCATAGGAGTCTTCTGCTCTCCAGGTCAGTCCTGTGGAACGTGATCTTGTGGGTGCACTCCATGTTGTGTCTGTTGTCTGGCCCGTGAACAGTCTAGTTTCTTGGTAACTTGGTGGGCACCAGGGCTGGCTTTCCTGAAGCTGGGGCTGTGGCTTGTGTGAGACACTGTACCTGTAGCACCGGTAGCGTTCTGTGTACTACAGTGCAGCCCCAGGACTTAGCTTGTCATTGTAAGCATGAAGTACGTGCAGATCTCACTGACAGCTGTGTCTCTTGAGTTCCGGCCTTCAGCCATGGAGGGTTTGGTGAGATCAGCAGTAAACTCTGCTCCTTTCTTCCTATTAACAAATGTAGAAACTTGGACACATTTTTGAGTTTAGGAAGCACAAGCCAAAAGAACATTTTAAAAAAAGTCATAGTTCTTTTTTTTTCTTTTGTGCACTTAAAAGTTGTCTCTGTGTGATGGCAGGAATGAAAGGGCTGCTTCTTGGCAAAGTGGCCCTTGATCTGCCCAAACTGCTGAACTGCCTGTGCTTGCAGGATACTGTTCATGAAGCTGCTTGACTGTGCACACAGTGTGCTGCCTCAGACCTGCTACTTATAGTGCCCACCCATCCACACAGCCAGCCTGCATGGCTGGCTGGAGCAGGCGTTGACTCCTTGCACCTGGAGCTGTTGCTTTTCCCCAGCTTTGGGGAAACCATTTACCACGAAACTCACATGCCTCCCACATCTGGCTCTTGCCATTTTTCAGGCCAGGTAATTTTCTTGTCAGGTGGTATGTCAAGTTTGCATTGTTTATTATATAGACTTGTGTAGAATCAGTTGTGTAGAAAAAGTTAGTAATATCTCAATGAGTTTCCAAATATGAGCATTATTTTTTATCCCTATGAGAATCTGAAGTCGATTATTAAAGATTATGGGGGAAAAAGCAAAATCTCAACTGTTGAGGACATTGTATAGAAAAACAGATTGTTCCCTGTGATTTTTTTCCTTTTGTTGAGGTTGCTATTAATCCTTTTCACTAATAATTGTGGTTTGCTTCTTGCCTTTGGGTTGCTTTCCTGTGTAAACAATTCTCTTTTTCTTTCGTTTTCTTTAGCAGTATGAAGCTTTGATGTTGTGCAAAGTCACTACAGGCTGCTCTCTAGTCTCAGGGCATGCTTCATGTTCTGGAAGAGGGCCTTAATGTCACCAAATGGCCAAGTAATCATATATGACATTTACAGCTCGGCAGGAAGCACACTGTGCTGTCTAGTCAGTGGTGTCTGAAAGAAACTGTGGGATTTTGTTAAAGGTTATCTGGTCATTTGAATCTATAACAGACTCACTCACGCTACCATCATTTTCTACAGAATTTAATGGTAATAAATAGCACAGTACTACTTATTCAGGGCAAGTATGAAGAATTACAGTTTCAAAGTAATTCTTTCTTCAAATTCACATTGTGTCTGACCCAAGAATGACTGTCGCACAAGCCACCTGTTTCCAGATCAGCAGATGTAAATAAATAAGCATGTGAGGTTCCCTGAGATGCCACCGACTCAAGAACCCTAAGCTGGAGGAAGAATGATGTCTTATCTAACCATTTATTTTCATTAGTTTGTAGACTTGCTGAGGATTAATTGTTGCTTTATAGTATTACTGAAATGGCTTTGGTGTCTTTGAATAGAAAAACTGGTGTTTGTTAACTGCTCATGCTCCTCTGTATCCCCATGTTTTAAGGGTTACTTAAGTCCACAGAGCCTTTTAAAGCCTTAAAAAGAAATTGCTCTTACAAGTCCTACGTGGCTTATGTGGGTAGAATTGCTATATTAATGGATGATGTGAGCAAGGAACTCAACATGGAAATGTGTTTTCTTCAACTGGAATGCTTTTACCTTGGAAAGAAATGGTACATCTGATTTTCACAGAAATTAGTAACCTACTGTTTGGTAAGTGTTGAGGTTCAACCTATTTAGAAGTTTTAAATCACCTCCACTGGCAAAGAAAATCATCCAAGGGCTAATAAAGAAGGATGCTCTTTTATCAGAAGGGAGGGAAGAAGAAATTGCCTTGTAGCCAGAGAGCGACCTGCTTATTCTCATCGCCACATTAGAAAAGGGTGTACTGTTCCTCACCAAACCAGAGCACCCACCTGCGGGGTCAAAGCTTTTTGTGCAAGTCATTTCGTTGTTTGAACTTCCTCAGAAAATTCAGTGTGAGGTGAAGCAGCCGACCAACTTGTATTCCTAGCACATCTCCCTCTCTTTTTGGTCCAGTAAAGCTGAGATGCACTTAGACCTCTGTGCGTTTGACTGTTTTTATTTGAAATACTTTAGGGAATTTTTGAGTGCTTCAATGTGTTTTTCTTTGATACTATCGTTTCCTTATTTGGTTTGCCTAAATATAGATACTGTGTTGATAATTTATTTTCTTCAGGTTTGCCTTTTTTAAACTGCCGTTAATTGATTCATGGTTCTCATACAAATAATTTTGTAGAATTAATATTTGGCTTGTATGTGAGTTACATTTTATTCGGATGAATATAGACACAAAAATTATCCACAAAATACTAGCACACAGAACCCAGCAAAATAGGAAAAGGGATTATATGCCAAAGCCAAATGAGATTGATCCAAGAAGACAAGGTTGGTTTAACATTCAAAAATCAACCAATATAACATACCATAATAAAGGACAAAAGCAACAGGATTATCTTAATAGATGTACCAAAATTAAAAAAAATGGTTGGAAAAATCCAACACCCTTACATGTGATAAAAACACTCAACAAATTAAGCATAGAAAGGAACTTCCTCAAGTTGATGTAAAAGGCATCTACAGAAAAGCCCACAGCTGACATCATTTTTAATGGTGGAATGTTGAAAGCTTCCTCCTAAGATCAAGAATGAGGTAAGTATGTCCCCTCTGACTGCTTCTACTCAGTGTGGTACTGGTGGTTCTAGCCAGGGCAAGAAAATGAAATACAAAGGAAGAAAGAATTAAAACTATCTCTAGTTGCAGGTGACATTGATCTTATATGCACAACATTCTCAGGAATCCACACACCATAAAAACTGTTACCACTAATAAGTTCAGCAGTGTTGCAGGATATGAGAATCAGTTCTTTTTCTGTACACACAATGAACAATCAAAAATCAGTTCCACTTACAGCAGCATTATAAAGAATACTTATGAATAAATTTTAAAAAGTATGACTTACATGCTGAAAACTACAAAACATCTTAAATAAGAAAAACCTAAATAGAAAGATATAAGCTGTATTCATGAATTGGAAGAATTATCGTTAAAGATGGCAGTACTCCCCAAACCAGTCTACAGATTAAATGCAATCCCTGTCAGAATCCCAGCTGTCTTTTTTGGGGTTAGGAATTGACAAACCATAAAATTCATATGGAGATAGAAGGAATCCAGAATAGCCAAGACAATCTCAAAAAACAAAGAGGACTCACACTTGACCCAGAAGCAACAGTAATAAAGACTGAGTGGAGCTGGCATAAACATAGACTTACAGATCACGGGAGTGTGATTTAGTCTGGAAATACACATTTATGGCAGCTGATTTTTGACAAGGGTGCCAAGATGATGTAGTGTGGGAAACAAGTTTTTTCGACCAGGGCTGGAAACTGGTTCATTCAGTTTGACCTCCTGCTAATAATTTGCATCTCCACCTCAGATATTCTGAATCAATCTATATTTTTACAAGATTCCTAGAAGATTCTTTTAGATTTCTTAAATGATTCTTACAGATCCCCAAGTTATTTATTTGTTAAACTGTAGATTGTATTCAGTATATCTAGGGAGTTCTGGTAGCGTAATGCCTAAGGCATTTGATTGCTAACCAGAAGGCTGGTGGTTCAAACCCACCAGCCACTCCTCAGAAGGAAGGCTGGGCAATCTATTTCTGTAGTGATGTTATGTGCCGTCGAGTCTGACCCGACTCATAGTGACCCCTCCTTGGGTTTCCAAGGCGGTATCACTATGGAAGTAGATTGCCCAACCTTCCTTCCGAGGAGTGGCTGGTGGGT